AATGAGGTTTCTAGATAATTCTTATTTTATGATGTAACAGGAAAGCCTGGTGCAGTGAAACATGGCACTTTTGTAGGTGTTTATGATGTGCAGCTGGTTCTTATTACTCACAGTGGGCGTCTGCAAAGTCACTGTGAATGTGGCTTAGTAAATGCTGAACTATGGCTTCTAGGGGAAATAAAGGAAAATTCAGCAACTGGAAACAAAAGGGAACTTCCCCCCACTTTTATCCAGAACATCTACACGCACCCCACAGCTAAAATCATACTTGCGCGAAAGGTCAGGAACAAGGTGAGGGGATCTAGTCTAAATAGCACTGCGAGTTTCAGAAAGATTGGTTTTGATTTGTATGCAGTTTGGCCCTGATTTAGGCGTGTAGGTTAAAACCAGTTTCCATTATCCAGAATCTCACAGGGATGATCTGGAAATTATATACGTCACCTGAGACAAAATGAGCACAGCTGTCCCCTGAGTGTACGCAGAGGAAGCAGCTTGTCGCAGTGGGAGCTGGAAAGGGGGCTGTACCCTCAGAGGGGTCGTCGGACAGGCAATGCTTTCCCGTCTCATTGGTGAATTGTACAACTTAAGAGGAGTTTTGTCAAAACCTCTCATTTTTATTTGCTTCAGAGTATATTTTTGCTTTCTGATTTCTGTAAGTAAATCACAGTAGCCAAGTCAGAAATCAACAAGTGGGGCGACGTCCCACTCAAAAGCTTTGGCACAGCAGGAGCGAAGAAGCAGCCTGCAGACGGGAGAAATCTGATACGGAGTTGATATCGGGAACTCAAACAACTCAATAGCATAAAACAAACAGTCTGATTGAAAAATGGGCAAAGGGCCTGAATAGACATTTTTCCCAAGCATAAATACAAATAGCCAAGAAGTACGTGATAAGATGTTCAGCATCACTAATCATGAGGGAAATGCAACTCAGAACCACAGGGAGGTGCCACCTCACACGTGTCAGAATGGCCGTTACCCAGAAGATAAGAGAGAACCAGTGCTGGTGAGGATGTGCAGAAGAGGGAACCCGTGTGCCCTGCTGGTGGGAATGTACATTGGTGCACCCTCTATGGAACACATTATGGAGGTTCCTCAAAAAACTTAAAATAGAGCCACCATAGGATTCAGCAGTTCCAGTTTTGAGTGTTCATCCAAAGAAATGAAGTCGCTATCTTGA